GGGGGGGGGGGAGGAGGGGAATCGCATCCAAAAAAATTTGATTGTCAATTTTATTTATAATTCGGGAATTTTTTTTTATATTTTACACATTATAACAAAGAGAAGATGTTTAGAATTGAAACAGAAGATGTGTGTGAGGCGCCCTGTAAGACTAGTATGCATAAAATAGATATCACATATGTATACATATATCTGTGCACTGCTGTATAGTGTATATACTACTTTCAACGAAGCTAAGGGAAGTCTTCCCTTCACAAATCAAGCTGTGAACCCTCTAAATCTCCTACAGAACAAACAAGCTGTGAACCCTCTAATTCTCCTACAGAACAAACAAGCTGTGAACCCTCTAATTCTCCTACAGAACAAACAAGCTGTGAACCCTCTAAATCTCCTACAGAACAAACAAGCTTTTAACCCTCTAATTCTCCTACAGAACAAACAAGCTGTGAACCCTCTAATTCTCCTACAGAACAAACAAGCTGTGAACCCTCTAATTCTTCTACAGAACAAACAAGCTGTGATACATTCTCCTACAGAACAAACAAGCTGTGAACCCTCTAAATCTTCTACAGTTAACAAACAAACTGTGAACCCTCTAATTCTCCTACAGAACAAACAAGCTGTGAACAATCTAATTCTTCTTCAGAACAAACAAGCTGTGAACCCTCTAAATCTTCTACAGTTAACAAACAAACTGTGAACCCTCTAATTCTCCTACAGAACAAACAAGCTGTGAACCCTCTAAATCTCCTACAGAACAAACAAGCTGTGAACCCTCTAATTCTCCTACAGAACAAACAAGCTGTGAACAATCTAAATCTCCTACAGAACAAACAAGCTGTGAACAATCTAATTCTTCTACAGAACAAAAAAGCTGTGAACCCTCTAATTCTCCCACTGCAGAACAAACAACCTGTGAACCCTTTAATTCTCCTCCTGTCTCTCTCCTTCTACTTGTAATATCTGATATTTCTCCGTTCTCTCTACCTGTCTCTCTCCTTCTACTTGTAATTTCTCATATTTCTCAGTTCTCTCTACCTGTCTCTCTCCTTCTACTTGTAATTTCTAATAATTCTCCGTTCTCTCTACCTATCCCTCTCCTTCTTCTTATAATTTCTGATATTTCTCCGTTCTCTTTACCTTTCTCTCTCTTCTTCTACTTGTAATTTCTAGTATTTCTCTGTTTTCTCTACCTGCCCCTCTCCTTCTCCTTGTAATTTCTTATATTTCTCCGTTCTCTCTACCTGTCTCTCTCCTTCTACTTTTAATTTCTGATATTTCTCCGTTCTCTTTACCTGTCTCTCTCCTTCTACTTGTAATTTCTAATAATTCTCCGTTCTCTCTACCTGTCTCTCTCCTTCTACTTAGATATTTCTCCGTTCTCTCTACCTGTCTCTCTCCTTCTACTTGTAATATCTGATATTTCTCCGTCTTCTCTGGATCCGTCTCTCTCTTTCCCTATTACTCTGTGAGTTTCTAGTTAAAACGAGGTTTGAGTAGTTTGTGATGAACACTCGAACAAACTGGTTCCAAAGCTATAATATATACTTTAAGATCGACCAAAGAATGGATCGGAAGACCAATTGATAGATTTTCATCTAAATGATAAATTCAAGCTTGAATGAATGTTGTTAAATGATCGACTATTGGATCAACATGAACGATTAATCGGTAAACAGAAAGATCAAAAGTAGAATTATTGATCATTCGTATAAGTATTGCAGAAGAATTGTTTAATGATCGCATGAGGACTGAACAGTTCCACTGGACTGAACATAACTAATATAAAGGAAGTAAAGAAAAGATAGAATAATTGATTGCATGATATTAGAATTGGATGAAAATTGGATAATTTTGGAGTCATCCATTTCAATCAAATATGTTACTAAAGAATAGTAGAATAAGCCTTCAGAGACGACTGTACGAAATTAATAATTATGTTTCTAAATTTTTAGGATTTCCTGAACTGTAAATTTGTTTGCTTCTATGACCAATCATTGAAAAGGCCATATAAAGCCTATAAATTAGGGCACAATACTTATTTTGACCTTGGAATCATCAAATTTAAAGAGTTTCATGTCGTCTTTAAAGTCTCATCCTTTGTGGATAACCCTTTACTTCCTTTGAAAGTAATCATATCGTGTAACCCCAAGATTAATCTAAATGTCGGTAAATGCCTAATGTAACGTACGACATACGTATAAGGGATTACTTAAAGCAGTGAAATTGAATATTAATCGTTCAGATTGTGAACACTCCATAAAACCAGGTTCTTTTCCTGCGCCGTCAATATACAATTCTATTTCTAAATTCTTAATTCTAAAGTTTGAGATTGATAGATTGAGATTACAGTTTATCTAGCCAACAATAAATTAAAGTCAAAGTTTTACCAGAATATGTAAATAAGACATCGATTAGGTTTTCTTCTAGAGCACTGTGTTAGATACAGGGTTCAGATCAGACTTTTAGGGCGACTATCAGGGAGTAAGGAATTATAGGAGGGAGATAACTGACGCGGTTCGCCCTGTACCATATGGTTATACATGCTTTGCAGACGGGTACTCCATTTGTATAAGAAATATTTGTCTGATGTACAATTACCGCGTATACAATAACCTATTTTTAATATTTTTTATACAAATGGATTACCCGTCTGCTAAGCACGCATATTCATATGGTAGGGCGAACCGCGTCAGTTATTCCTTAATCCCTGGCGACTATGTTAAAATTTATTCAGTTCTGGTTCCCTACAGCTGTATGCAAATTTTCTTTGACAAATCTTTTAAAGGGACTGTAAGCATAATTTCAAGCATTCTACCATGCACAGATTGAAATGCTCGATTCACAAGGGTACCTTTACAACCTTTGTCTGCAAAAATATGAATTATATATCAATGTTAGGAAACTACTCATTTTCAACTGTGGTTTCCCTACAACATTTTTTTGCGCATTTCTAGCGTAGGAAACAGGAAAACATATGGAAAACGACAAGAAAACGACAAAACAGACTTGTAGCTTTCAGACCCTTAGAAAAGTCATCAAACGACTCTTTTTTATGAAGAATCAACTCCAAAATCAGGTCGTAATATTAAAAGAATTTTAGATCTTAGAGCCTCATCCTTTGTGGGTAACCCTGTAGTTAAAAAATATATTAAATTCCAAACACAGATTCAAT